TTTATACTAATAAAATAAAAAAAATTTTAAAAGTCTGGATATGGATAGTGATGTTTGCATGACGATGTGAATTGGACTTGATGCCACTGACCGGTACATGGTTAAAAGGGCAATGTTGTGCATATTTTACTTAAATTAAAATATAAATTCCAGGCCAGGCACAGTGGTGCCCTTTGGGAGAAAGGTAAGAGGATCACAATTTCAAGCCCACCCTGGGAAACTTACCAAGACCTTGACCAAAAAAAAAAAAAAAAGCTGGAGATATGTATAACCAATGCCAGGAAAAGAAGAACAAATTAATTTAATTAATTAAATTTTTTCTTAGCTGCAAAAGAGGGATAAGTAGAAGAACACATACATTTTTTTGTAAAACAAGAATAGTTTACCAGATGCAAGTTGATGTTACTTAAAATGGCTTGTGAAAAGATACCTGTGTTTTGTATAAATGATAGAACGTTTTGTTAATAAAGTGTTAATATAGAAAGACTCGTGTTTAGAGCAAATACAGTGACGTGCAAGTACAGATTTTTTCAGTCCCATAACTCAACCACTTCGGGGATGGGATTCTGCTAGGCATTAAGACCATGACGACGATAAATCACAACTAACACCCTTGTTGCCAGAAGAGCCTGTCTCAGTCCGCAGCTCTTCTCTCCAGCTCCCGTGGCCCCACCACACACTGGATTTCCTCTTAGACATAGGACGACACATGTCCTCCTGGGTGAATCCAAGGCAGCAAGACTCTTGATCAAATAATCATTGCTGGGCCGCGGATTTAGCTCAGTGGCTTCGCCGCCTGCTGCGCAAGCGCAAGGACCCAAGTTCGATCCCGGGTACCAAAAACAAAAAAACAAACAAATAATCATTGCTATCTTCGAGTTCTGCAAACAAAATTGTCCTATAAATCTGACTACTTAGTGGAAGTTCCTTGCCTCACTTTATTATCTACCTTTGGTCCTTGCTCCCTTTCCTCTCAGTTGGTCTACTGCAGTCAGAGCTGTCTAGCAATAGGGGCACTATTCAGCCTTGCGTGGATCAGGGAGACCTGTCTGGGCTGTTCTTACACTATTTCAACTAACCCAACCCCACTCGCGCGGAACTCACACTTCGCGCTAAGGACCTTGGTCCTCTCCAACACAGAGGCGAGGCGGAGACCAGCAGATCTCGCGACAGCCAGGCTGTTGGGCGCTCTCAGGTCCTGGGAGGGGAAAGGGGACGGAGCGCTGCGCTCTAGCACTTCCGCAAAGATGGCGGCAGCACGGTCTACTGTCCGTCTTGCGGTGTGGGGTGGACGACTGCGGCGCGGCCTTACTGCCAGCCGACTGGCCGTGCTGAGCCCAGGTCCCTTGGCAGCGGCAGTGACCGGCGTGGTCTTGGCAGGGGCAGGAGCGGCCTGGCATCACGGCCGTGTGAATGTCGCGGCGCGCGAAGGCAGCCTCACTGCCTCCGCACAGGTATGGGACCGGCCCTTTTGGCGAGTCCGCCCAGGCTCCGCCCTCCTCGGACGCCTCTCGACCGGAAAGGGTCTGAAGCCGGAGGGCCTGGGGACCCCGGGTGATTGGCCGTCCCCCTGGGACTGAGCCCCGCGGAGGCTGAAGCCCGTGGGCGGCACACCCACCTGGTGAATGCGGTGGTGGTGAGTGTGGGTGTGTCGGAATTCCAGGCCCTTATTTCACCCTCTCTCTACCCTCTCCCCGGCCTCCCTCTTTGGTATAGTGACCTCCTGATCTGCAGGTGGTGTGCGTCCCATACTTACCCGGACATCACTTAACCTTTATAACTAAAAGTTTTACGACAGCATTTGTATGGCATGGTGGAATTGTCCTAGTAACTTTTCAGTCACGGAAGAATCAACCATAACAGCCACTTGATAGTTACTACATTCAATTATCAGTTCTGAGGAATGTTATTACATGATTTACACTTTACTAGTGGACCGTAAGTGCTGAACAAACAACATTTCTCCTACAACCTCTATTAAATGTAAAAGTCAAATTTCCTACTTAAGTAATACTGCTATGTAAAACATTTAAAAATTTGAAAGTACTATAAAAATATTGTAAAGATATTTTAGTGTATGTGATTTTTGGAAATTAAGCTTTTTTTTAACTTGTTAGTTTACATTAGGCCTTTCTAGTGCAAAACTCAAGGAACATTCCAATACAACAAAAAGGAAGGCGGGCCTTGTAAATTAAAATTCAGATGATATTTTTGTTTATATTAAAATGACACATAGGTAGTACATGCAGTAAGTTTACCTCATCCCTACTATTTCTGATTACAGGATGGAAGGATCTTTTAGTGTTTCATAGGACCCTTCTCGGTTAATATTGTGTTAGGCTGTTCATTTTGTTATTCATCCTTGGCTTCTCTGTGCCATTCTCAATGCCTCTTAGTCTGTCCTACTTAGGACCCTTTGGTGAATCTTTCCCAGACTATCACTTTAACCATACAGGATACCCTCTTTAGAAATCATCAGTGTTTATTCTGTCTAGAATAAAATGTACCCTCTTTTTCTGATACTGGCAATTAAACCCAGGGCCTCACACATGCTAGGCAGGTTCTCTGCTGCTGAGCCACATTCCCAGCCAGTCTTGCATTTTTCAACTTTGTTGTTCAGAGACCCTAAAAATAGTCTGACCTATCTATCGCTACTCAAATCTCTTCCAACCAAAGAGACTCAATCACTTTCCGTAGAGCAAAAGTTGCATCCATTTTCTTCCACACTTAGCAGTTTATAGACTCTGATTTAACTTCATCTGTCTTTTGTTCTAGCTTCCTGACTTGGTAAAAACTTCACTCCTATATTTTAGATTTTTTCCTAAACTGTCAGTCTCCTTCCCCTGCAACTTTTTAAGTTTCAGCCTTTTAATTTTGTATTACAGATAGCATTTTGATTATCAATTGTTTATCAGGTTTCTTGACACTTTTGCTTGATCTACTGTGGACCAATTACTGGTTGTCATCCTTTTACTACCGCAGTGGACATTTCTCTCAGCAACAGTAGCTGAATACTGGTGTATTTGGTATAGTTATAGCTTGAAAACTGTCCACCACAGTGATTTTGGTACATTTCTCTAGAAAGGGGTCCTGTTAATAATCCGTGGGATCATGTGCGCATAGTGGAGAATTTCTGAGATAGGTACCAGAATTTTGGTTTGTGATTAATCTCTCAATTCAGTTTATTTTTTGTATTAGTATGGTTGTAGTTATTTAACTTAGTATCACCTGTGTACCTATAATTATAGTGAAAATGTCTTTCCTTCACAATCATCACGTTAAGTGAACTTTCCAGTGCATATGGTGAATTTATATTAATGGTGTTCTATACTTTTCTGGTTCTCATTGTAATCAACACCTTAGCTTACATTTGTGAGGGTCAGTTAAGACCTGAGGATAGATCTTCCCATCGTGAAACAGCAGATAAGTCAGAATCCCCCTTCTTTCCTTTCTTCCTTTCTTCTGGAATCTTACTGTTTACCAGGCTGTGTGCAAGGAACGGGGATTATAGATCTTTTATGTGCTTACAGTGGACAGTTGAAAGCAATGTTCTGAGTACTGTGCTAAGTGTAAGTGCTAGGTGCCTTGGGAATGTGCTGGGGTAGCACCTCACACAGTCTTGATTTCCTGAAAAAATGGCAGGAAATGGTCACCTGAAGGATAATGGGGCATTTGCTGGACAAAAAAAAAAAAAAAAGAGTGTTGCAACAAAGCATTATCTTTTCAGAGGTCTGGAAGAGTTTGACTCAGAAGAATGTGAGTTGCAAAAATGGGTGTGAGTGGTGACTGGGAATCAATCAGATTATGAAGTCACCTTAAGCCATGTGACAGAATTTTCATCCTGGGGACAGTAGGGAACCTCTGCAGGAGTTCTGAATCCTCCTGGACTCACTTCTCACCCCCACTGCAGGCCTAAGATGCAAGGGGTCCATGAACTTAGAAAAACATGACATTTTGTTTCCATTGGCCTATAATTTAAATTTTTCTTTAATTATGAATGTAAGCAAAATGCTACTGTAGTATCACAGTAACTGACTTTGTCATCAATACAAATATCGGATAGTTTAGGTATCTGAAAGCATCACATCTTCAAAACTACTTATTAAACATGCCATCATATCATGTTATATAATGCATTAGAAAGTGTGTATTAATGTAATACATTGATAACTGCTGTAGAGTAAATATAGTCTCTGAAATGTCAGACAAATAATGGGAAAAGGGAAGGAAATCCCTAGAAAAGTGGCTTCTAGAAAGACAGGAGTAAACATCCCTTGCAGTGTTAATGCTGTCATTTCTTGTATACTGTTTAAATGTTTATTAATGTTGACCTTGGTGCTGGAAAGATGAAAGGTTGCTTAGAAAAATGCCACTGCAACTTTCACCTTTTGAATGGAGAGAAAAATGGGAAAATGAGAGAATAATACAAGCCATAAAGAATCTTAAAATATATTCTGTAAGGTCCTGTAATGTGCTTAAAGTGAATAATAAACTTATAAGCACGTTCAAAGAGGGGAACAGGTCAGTTACATGCTTCCTAATAGCTAGTTGCTCAGAAGCATGACTGATTCTGTGACTAAAACAGCATTTTCTTCTGTTTAATAAGGAGGAGACTATAGCATCCTTATGGTAAATAGAGTAAAATTTTGTTGTGCCCAGATCACGTAGTCCCAGAGACCACCAGGAAGCCAATCCCGATGTAAGCACACAAGGGTCGTTTATTCAAGCTCGAGCAGGGACTCTCATCTGTCACCAACGCAGTGGGTCGAGATTGAGAGCCCCGAATTTCAAATTAGCGGGGTTTTTATAGAGGTTACAGCAAGGTTTGGAGATTTTCCACTTAGCAGTTACATGATTGGTTGACAGTTAGCAAGCATGAAGTGTACATTTCTGATTGGCTAGGTGCATCGGGGGTTGAGGGGTGGCTACATGTAGGTTTTACGAGGGAAAAGAGGGACAAAGGTTAGTGGTCGACTGTCACATACTGATGGTCAGCACATTGACAGATTGTTCTATGGATAGTGG